CGCAAATTATATTGTGTTGATAAGGCAATTTGTCTGTTCCGCAAATTATATTGTGTTGATAAGGCAATTTGTCTGTTCCGCAAATTATATTGTGTTGATAAGGCAATTGGTCTGTTCCGCAAAAAAATACAACATGTGCTATAAGGTTAAGGTCTACTGATTCAAGCAGAAGAACCGGCTATAAATCTTCCTTAGATCTTACTCATATATTCTATTTGCATAATACTACAGGAATCCGCAGAAAAGGGTCCAGTGTTTGATAATGAAAACAAGGAGAATCAGGCATTTATTTCTTAAACTTTTGATGTATCTTCGCATAAGCTGATATCTAATAATGCATATTTGATTTTTATAATGTATATGATTTTATGCCCTTTTTTTAGGAAGTAGATCAAGGAAGGAAGCTTAGAAAAAGAGTTTATATAAATTATACTGAATCAGATGTGGAAACAAATTCGGAATCAGATGTGGAAACAAATTCGGAATCAGATTCGGAATCAAATTATGTTGAACAAACATCAAAAAGGTAAATAGTACAATGTTGCATTTCAGTATATAATTATAAGTCATACATTTTAAATATTTTTTTAAATCTATTAAGTACGAATATAAACTATAAACTAGGAAGAGGGTGTTTTGTTAATAATACCTTAAAAGAAAAGGCAAACCCTTCCCATAATCTCTGGAAACGACAAAAAGTTAATGATAAGTCTGATAATTATTCTGAAGTAGGATCGCAATTTATATAAGCTGAAGCCATGTACATAGCCACTAACAATTAATTACTAATCATTAAATATGATGTTTTTTTTTTAGGCAGAATCGAAGAATATTATCTCAAGTGAAGTTTCAGCTAAGGATAATAATTTATATATAGATGGCGTGAATATACGTGCAGCAATTAAAACCTGGCGTAAATCGACCAAATATGTTGATGAAATCAACAAACAAGAGTATGTTTTATAATTCTGTCTTGGAAACTCTATGAACTATTATAACATTTGTGTGCTTCCTTTAGTTTGCTATATTATAACATTATAGATACGATTGAAACATCAGCAACAAAGGCACGAGTTATTTTTAAAGATGAATGGGATAAAATGATCAATACTATTGAAAGTACAATCAATCCAGAAGAATCACGAAGTGAAGAGCCACAAAATAAAGAGCCACAAAATGAAAAGCCAAGAAATGAAGAGTCACAAAATGAAAAGCCAGGAAGTGAAGAGCCACGAAATGAAGAGTTAGGAAATGAAGAGCCACGAAATGAAGAGTTAGGAAATGAAGAGCCACAAAATATGAAGAAATATATCAAGGAATTTATGAGCAAACTTGTAAGTAGTTCTGTTACAAGTGATTGTATTATATGTTACTTTTAATTTATACTATTAAAAAAAAAAGACAACCTGGGCGCAATTAGAAAATGTTCTAAAAAACAAAAAAGCTGAACTGCAGGATTATTCTAGTGAAAAATATAAGAAGCAAGCTTTAAAGCTTGCAACGATCTTGTAAGTGTCTTCTTGTTTAAGATTTTTTTCTGTATTTAATATAATCGATTTTGCTAACATGTGAGCCTTTGAAATTACTATAGCAAAAATCAATTTGAGGATGATCGAAATACTTTTACAGAAGAACAAACGGAATATAATTTCATTATAAATTTCGTTTCACAAATTTTCAAATTGCTTTTTAAGGATAATAAGTCTTTAAAACTAGACTGGTAAATATCTGTTTCTTCTTGTTTAGTTGTTTATGTTCAGATTTATATAATTCATTTTTTTAATAGGGGAGAGAAAACATTAAAAGCATCAGCAGTTCTAAAGAACGAACTACTCCAAGATGACTATAGACGTAGTCATGGTAATAAAATCGATCTTGTTATGAGCATTGTCGACATTAAATTAGAAAGTATAATTATGGAGGTATCAGGTTCTCCGAATGAGCAAGATCATACCCACTATGTGGGTGATCGAAACAAGATAGCTAAAATGCTAAAAATAATTATAAACTATACCATCACTAAGTATCCTGGCAGTTTCGAAGTATTTAGAAAAATAAAGGTTTATGGAATTCAAATTTATAGTAAGTTGCGTAGTCCTATTATTACTTTAGTATTTAATTATTCTGATGATTAGTTTAAAATTATAGATCACAAATTTTACATCTATTCAATGTGTATGCCATTTTCGGCAATATATTATTTTAAACTTGAACTTAAATTTGAATGTCCAATAATAATGAGAACACTTGCCAAAATTTATGGAAAATGAAGGTAAATTTGACTTTCGTGCTAATGCAAGTTTACGAATTTGATTTAAAGTTTTCATCAAATCCAATTAGAACTTAGTTCAATCGAGTGTAGTAGAAATTATGAAATATATTGATGGTGAAAAAGGTGAAAAAAGTGACAGAGAAGCTTCAATTGATCTGGTCAATTAATCAAAAAGTCGGTTGTTATGAGTTTAAATTCAAGTGCAACTTTTTTTCTAATAGTTTTTTTAGTTCATTACTCTATTAGCAAAAAACACTTAGTAATTTTACCCGTTTAATAAACCAAATAATCATCACTTTTTATACTGTATCTATAAAATAGTCATTAGTTCGTCCACATTGGACTTGTGATTTATTAACTTCGTGTATA